CACACACACACACACACACACACATATATATATATATATATATATATATATATATATATACCAAATATATTATTTAAGCCCACTTATTCAAATCCCCATCACGTCTAACTTGCCCTCATCTTCTATTTCTCAACTTCGTTATGTTCCTTGAAAAAAAAAAACTTTGTTATCTCCCACAGTTGCACTGATAGCGGTTAAATTGGCACCCACGGCAATCGTTTAGCATTTGACAACTTCTCTCTCATCTTAATTTTCAAATTGGATATCAATTAGAAGTCGATTGTGTAAATTTGGTAATGGATTTGATATTCATGTTTCTTAAATTTTCATAGCAATTTAGCCTTCACGATTCGCTTTGGAATTATCTTCTGAAAGTGGGGGAAAAAATATTTCAAATTTTCATCTTAAATTTCTTTGGTAGCAAATTTTCACTCAACGCGTTTAAGCCCCATCAAATTTTCTGGCCTCGCACTGTATGTATGTATGTATGTATGTATAATATTATAAAAAAAATGTATTCTACAAATAGTTTTAATCAAATATACATATATCAAAAATACAAAATATAAAACAATTCAAGTTTTAATAACCATAAAAAAAAGAGCTCATTGCAAATACCACCCCTGTGTAATCTCTAATGTCAAATTATTATTTATTATAAAATGTAACATAAGCAATTAAAAAGCATATAAAAACACTATAAAAAAAGCATACAAGAACTTTTAATATTACAATATATATTTAATTATTTTAGAGAGAAGTTAGAGAGAATTTAAGTAGCAAATTTTTTTCTTAACTTATTTGTGGGATTTAGTAAATTTTAGTGTGGGATTTAGTATGCCCCATTTTTTTTCTTAATAATTAAAAATAAATACATAATATTTACAAAATTAAAGTGATTCTAAAATTTGGTGTATTATACTCTACTAATTGCTAAAAAAACCCTAAGGACATTTTTGTCTATTCACTATTAGTCAAAGCCTAAAATTAAAAAGGGTGCAGTGTGCTTCGAAAATGTTAACAGAGGGGGGAGTTAGTGAGTTTTTTTTATCACAGAGGGATATTTGGCAATTAGAGATTACACATGGGTGGTATTTGCAATAAGCTCATAAAAAAATAATAAATAAATAAAAACCTGACTTAAATAACAAATAAAAAATACACAATTTATTTTGGTTTTCACAATCATCATAGTTCCATAACTGACTTATTTGACTTTAATTATTACTATTATTTGTGGGATGGGGTCATGTAATATTTAAATGTTTTATTATATACCATACGTGAATAGTAGCATGTATATATACTAGCTCCATCTTAAATTTTAGGTGGTGATCAGCATGATTTTGAATTCATAAATGGTAAAATTGTAAAATTATAGCATTTAGCACTCCAAACACCATATGGTTGAAGATGCTCTAAAAATTAAAAAACGAGACAACACCCCTTTGGAATATTGTTTTTGTTGCACTTTGTCCCAGACTCCCAAAAGTCAATTTCCGAGGGGTTTTTCTGCCGAAATTAACGTTTTTCACTCTTTATCGGCGGCTGATCGTGATTCATCAGTCGCAATTCTCCCAAGAGCTATCCCGGAAAATTCATAGACCCAACGAAAATCTTGGAGGTAAACCATAAAATTCACATAAGAAGCTCTAAATTCATAATCAGATAGAATCCCTTCGCCATTCGAGACAACAGAATAGTATTTCACCTTTGGAAAAGTGAATCCTGACTCTGGAAAGAAAAATCTTAATTTTCTATGCCCCAATTTTAGATTTCGTGTGTTAAAACAATAAAATAAAATTGGAGATTTCGGATGGGCAATATAAAATTACATAAATACCCCAAATAAGAAAACTGAAAAGTGTCGATTCCCATGAAAAACCCACCGAAATTAGTTTTTAGGGGAAAATGCAACCAACAAAATATTTCAAAGGGGGTCTGTCTATTTTTTTAATTTTCATGGGCAAATGTGCGAAAATGGAAAATTCCTAGGGGACGAAGTGCATTTTTTCCATATATAAATTTGATTTTGCCTTTTTATATAGGACAAATGCACTTCACCCCTATAAATTTTCAATTTCTGCACTTTTCCTGTAAAAGTTGAAAAAGGGATACTTCACATTTGAAATACTATTTTGGTTGGACTTTGCCCCGTAAGCCAGTGTTTTGAGGGCATTGTGCAACAAAAATAATATTTTAAAGGGACAACGTGCAAAATTACCTATAGTGAGTGAAACACGAGTGTTGAGAGAGTTCATCCTCAGTGAGTTTTAGGTTTTAGGAGGGTTGGATGAATTTGAGTGATTCTAGTCTGATCTAGAGTTTGTTGGATGTAAGTGAGCTTTGTGCTGTTTGTTGGTACCACCGCCGGTGGTATTAGATCGAGAAGTGTGACACTGAAACTGAGCCGTGATCTAAAAGCTAGACTTTGTCAAAAATGAGTTTGTGTTTGTTTTCCTTCAAACAGATACCAACAAGTGAGCTTCTGCAGAACGCCATACTCTCGAGGGTATTTGCAAGTGAGCGATTCTGAGTTTTTGTAAGCGACAATCATTGTATAGGCAGCTGTTGTTGGTCCTTTCCCCGAACTCATTATACACTATGCAAAACAGAGTCGTCTTTTTGGTCACTCGGAGGAGGATCGGGAAGGAGAAACGTATTGATACACACATGCCTAAGTTGTCGCATCTCCCAAATTTCGCATCGGTTAGGGAGAGGAATTGTATTGTGAAGTGGGCCCCACAGCAAGGGATAAAGTACGTTTTGTGTCTTAAGGAGAAGATTGGTGTATGTGTTTGTCAAATCAATCGAAGCAAGTGCAATAAATTTCAAAACTATGCGAAACAGATCCAAGAGTTTGAGATGTCGAAATGCATGAATGTAAAAGACAACCGTAGATTTCTTATTCAATAGCTATTGTTATACATGATGATGATGATATTTCACTTGACAACAAAACAAGATTATTCATTATTCATTACAACCACACAAACCAAACCAAAACTTGCTGAAATACAAAATTCAAAGTTAACCAGAGATGTCAATGGCCTTGACCTCAGGTTTTTTCACCTCCTCTTTGGGCACAGTCACAGTCAGCACCCCATTCTCCATCGCCGCCTTCACCTCCTCCAATTTAGCATTCTCCGGCAGCCTGAATCGTCGGATGAACTTGCCGGAGCTCCTCTCGATGCGGTGCCACTTGTCGTTCTTCTCCTCTTTCTCCTTGCTTCTCTCTCCGCTGATCTGAAGAATACTGCCATCCTCAACCTCAACCTTCACTTCATCTTTCTTCAATCCCGGAACATCAACCTTGAACAAGTGTGCCTCCGGCGTCTCTTTCCAGTCGATCCTAGCGTTTGCCACTGCGGTTGTTTCTCCGGAGGAGGAGAATGGGAAGCCCTGAAATGGGTCCCAAACATCCAATGAAAATGGATCGAACACGTTGCTCCGGCGGCCATTGCCAAAGAAGCTTGGTATCAGAGACATTTTCTGCAAAAAAATAATACTGTATATATGATGAACTTATTGATTTTGATAGTTTGCTGATAATTCGTTTCTAATTTTCGATGGAATTTGGTTGAAGAAGCACGCGTATTTATATGGGTGATCAGAGGATTCTTGCACGCACATTCTTGAAATTTCGAGAGCCAAACGGATTTCGGTACAAATAATTCCAACATCTTCTAGAAAATAATAAACTGTTCTTTCCTTGGGCCTTGACTTTATATTTTGGGCTCATTTCTGAAGAAACTTTTGTAGCCCAATCTTACTGCAATCCATCTGAATCACCTTATGAATTAATTTCGGGGTTTTTTCTATTTCATTGATTTCATATATTTTATTTGTAGTAATATATATTGTAATGGGAAAATTTCAGTTTTCGTCCCTCGAATTTGCACTGATTCCACATTTGGTCCCTCATATTACAAAAGTTCAATACTTTTAGTCATTCCCGACAAACATCCGTAGCAGTGCATTTCACTGACTTAACTGACGGACTCACAATAAATTGATGCAAATGACCAAAAATGTTAAATTATTGAAACATAAGGGACCAAATTCATTTTTTTTTGTGAACATGGGACAAAATGTGAAATGAGTTCAAACTTGAAGGATTGAAAATTGTAATTTTTCCCATATTGTGATGATCCAGTTATGTTTAGATTTTGTCAAAAGAATAATTTAAAATATAATTTAAAACGAGAAAAACGATCACAAAGCTAAAAAAAAGTACAATATTTCTTACCCCATTGTGTTCTTCGACCTGACAATCATCAATATTAATGTCTTGTGTGTCCATAATGTCCTCCTTAACAAGTTTTAGTAAGATTTGAGGGTTTTGTTTGATGAGGGTTTTTGGAGAATATGAAAGAGTTTTTTTGGAAAAAATGTGTAGAATGATAGTGAAGAAGAAGAGGTGAGATAATTACACTTTTGGTCCTTCATGTTTGAGCCGATTCTACTTTTGGTCCACTTGTTCCAAAGTGAACAAAGTTCACCTCCATGTTTCCATTTTATACACTTTTCGTCCACTCGGTCACATGGACGTTAGAAACTAACAGAAAACACTATTTCCGGGGTAAAAATGAAATTTAATATTATTTTGGGGCTACAAAACAATTATCAATTCAAAGTACTATTTGTAATGAATTTTTTTTATAATATTAAGTATAAACAAAATGAATAATATTTAATTTTCACAAACAAAATGCAAAATATATAGGAAGCTGACAACTGATTTTTAGTTTAATTTGATTGCTTGAATTTAAGGGGTCAAGTTAGGATTTTAAACAAGAGTTTGCAGATTGTGAGAATCTCTGACTTGATTTTTATAATTTACTTAATTACAGTTTGCTAATTTTCGAGAGAATGCAGCCATATGTTTCAATTAGATTTCTCTCTCTGTATTGTTTGTTTTTTGTAGTTGCTGGATGGCAGAAAATATAGGCATTTTTTATGGCCACGAAGAGCGAAAGCAATTAAGTCAGGTCTAACGCTAGCTTTTGATCATGTTAGTATGTTCATTATATAAACTCTATTTCCTACTTGTCGTTCTAAACTCATTTGCTCGGTTTATAAAAAATAAAGTTCTTGGAATGGTTTGATATATCTTACGCCATTTCAATATATTTTCATAAATATATAATGAGTTAATTTTGTTCAGCCTTGCTACCTAATTTCAATTTTTTATGCCGACTGAAAACTATATGATGAACTTTACAGATTAGGGGATTAAGATCAAAGATTGGCAACAATAAAGGGCCTGCTCTATGTATCGAAATGTTCTGTTTTCACCCAGTAAAGATATTGGATTGCTAGTGACAATGTGCTTATATCCAGGTATTCGTTCTTGCTTAATTTATTCACGGTGAAAATAGCATATACTATTTCGTTGGTGTTTTTATCCATAGTACTGTTGGATATATTGCGGAAATATATGAACAAGATTAACAAGGAAATAATTGAGGAGTACGTATCTCCTACATATTTTACTCTTGCTAATACATGTTGAATTACAAAATATAATCTTACACCTATTTATACTAATCTAGGCATAAGTACGTAGTACATGCATCATATTAAATATATTCATCATGAATCCTAGATATGCATGTGGATACACTTCTAGAAAGTGCATTAATTCCAACAAGTACAAGCTGTAGCTTTCTAGTGTGCCTCCGGCGTTTTTTTCCAGTCGATCCGGGCGTTGGCCACTCTGGTTGTTTCTCCAATGGGAATCCCTCAAATGGGTTCCAAACATCCAATGAAAATGGATCGAAGACGTTGCTCCGGCGGCCGACATGATCTGCAAACGAATATACTTGAGCACTTTGTTTGATAGATGAAGATTTTGATAATGTTCTGAAACTCTGTTTCAAATTTTCTATAAAACTTGATTGAGGTGAAGATTTTGATAATGTTCTGAAACTCTGTTTCAAATTTTCTATAAAACTTGATTGAGGGGCACGCTTATGCTTACTTATAATGGGTGATCAGATATATGATTCTTGCACATTCTTGAAATTTTCCCTAGTATATAATACCTATTATTAAATATACATGGTTTTCGATTTTCTCATTCGCAGAAGATGCTGAATTTAAGCTCAAATACTAACAACATCGTTTTATTTTTCGTGTTTTTTTTTTCTTTCGGAATCTTATATATAACACAAAATGTGATTCATCTCTATCGTCGAGTAGTCAATATAATCACAGCCTCTTTTATGCTGCTTTAAGTGGGGCTCTTTGTGGGACTCCTTTTCTACTTCGCTTGCGCATACTAATTTTCTCCATAGCTTGCGAGCTCTTTGTGTCCGCTTCGATACCTTTACGTTTCTTGCTCTCTTCATTGACTGTGGTCTTTTTATCTTTTCCGTCCGTTAATGGTGGGGTGCCCGGTTTAATATTAGCCATCTCCTGGTCTACATCATTATTCTTATTCTGTCAAAAAAAAAAAAAATAAGAAGAAAAGAAAAGTTTCAAATTTAGAGATCAAAGAGATAAATATTTTGTAAGAAAATAAAAATAAAAATAATGCCAGCTGCATATACCGCCTTGCACGCAATGGAACAAAAGGAATAATCTGGAGATATCAGCTTTGATTTGCATGTCAGACACAAAGCATCATCGTGTTTTGATTTCGGTTTTGTGGCTGACTTGGTCTTCGTCCCTTCACTGCGTTTGGATTTAAGGTGAAAAATAACCTTGCCATTAATCTTGTATCGTTGAATATCTGATACGTCCCAATACTTTTCCATGTCACTTTTTTTAATTGCTGCCCTATCTGAAGCAATGCAAACCTATAATATAATCAAGAAAAATGTATCAATTCCTTCAAGAACATGAATTAAACTTTATCAAGAAAAAACAAAGAAAATTCAATCAATTAGAACATGTACTAATTCCATCAAGAAAACGAAGTAAACTCATCAAGAAAAAAAAAACGAGGAAAGTTCGATCAAGAACATGTAAGAAAACAAACTAGTCTCATCAATAAAAACCAAAGAAAATTCAATCAAGAACATGTACTAATCCCGTCAAGAAAACGAAGTAAACTCACAAAGAAAAAAACGAGGAAAGCTCGATCAAGAACATGTAGGAAAACGAACTAGTCTAATCAAGAAAAATCGACGAAAATTCAATCAAGAACTTGTACTAACCCCATCAAGAAAACGAAGTAAATTCATCAAGAAAGAAATGAGGAAAGCTCGATCAAGAACATGTAGGAAAACGAACTAGTCACATTGTTGAAAAACCGACGAAAATTCAATCAAGAACTTGTACTAACCCCATCAAGAAAACGAAGTAAATTCATCAAGAAAAAGACGAAACGAACTAGTCTCATCAAGAAAAACCGAAGAAATTCAATCAAGAACTTGTACTAAACCCATCAAGAAAACAAAGTAAATTCATCAAGAAAAAAACGAGGAAAGCTCGATCAAGAACATGTAGGAAAACGAACTAGTCTCATCAAGAAAAACCAAAGAAAATTCAATCAAGAACATGTATTAATCCCATCAAGAAAACGATGTAAAGTCATCAATAAAAAAACGAGGAAACTTCCATCAATAAAAGAAATTAATAACATCAAGAAAAAGGAATAAAATTGGGAAAAAAACAAAAGTAAAATTTTGCGCGATCAATACTCAAAAAGAACAAAAAAAAAAAGGACAAAAAAATGGCATAATGAAGAAGTATAATGTAAAACTGAACTAATGATGAACTTACTTTCAAGATTTGATCATGGTTTTTGTGTTCGTTGGACTTTTCTTTCCAGCACGTGTCGCAGAAGGGTTCGCACATGCAAACTCCACAGTATCTTGTACAGTACTTATTTACGTGTTTCTTGCAGTTTTCTCGGTAAAATTTAAGATTCAGCCATGGTGGTAGCCACTTCGGAGGTCGCCGTGTCTTCATACTTCTCCGGTTTAAGCAGAAGACGATTTTTTTTTTTTTTTTTTTCTTCCTTTTTTTCGTTGGAGAGAGTCCGTATATGTAGGCCTCTTTATTAAGTTAGGAGTATACAACTTTCGTATATATAGGATTCTTTATACATGGAAATTCTTATTTCCTAATGCAAACCTAGTTAATATAAAATAGTGGTTTTTATGAGAAGGTCCCTCAATCTTTATTTTTCTACGTTAAGATGCTTTATTTCTTGGGTCTATTAGTGAGACCCCTTTCAATGTTTATTTTAATACAATTAAACCCACTTTGTTATTTGCATTTGAGAGACCCCTAAAATTTTCATAAACCCATTATATTTTTACATTATTTCAATTTCTCTCCCCTCTTACCCACTATATATATGATTCTATTTTCTACATTTTTTTTCTATTTGATAAATTTATTTTTAATAATGTTTTTTTTTTTAATAAATCGTCATTTTTTTCTTAGCAATTTACCATATCATAAACAACTACAAATTACAATAATCAACTACAATTTGTTTTCCTTTATTTACTAAAATCATCATCAACTACAAATTTTAATAGATAATCAACTATATTTTATTAGATAATAAACTATAATATTAATGCACATACAATTGAAACTATTGTGAA